GCATCTTTGGACATTGCATACACAAAGGACTGTCTAAAGCGGTCTGTGCGCGAGCGTGGTAGATTATATGTTCTCTGTTGTCGCAGGCAGTAGCTTTGTTCATTTCTTGGAGGCAGTAAGTTGTGTAGTTTATGCCCCGAGTTGTTGGCGATTGAATCAAAGAGTCGTTTACATAGTTCATTGCGTCTCTCTTTTAGCGTTGGCAGGCCTAGTCTGTCCAAGCAGTCCTGATATGACATATCTAGGAGAATTATGGAAAGAACTCTTTTCTGTATACTCTCTATATCCTCACTGAGGTAAGCGGGAAGCGCGTGATGGAAGAGGGGAGCGCAATATTCTAGAACAGATCTGATTGTTGTACAGTAGAAATCAACAATGTCATTACAAGGTACACGAGCCCTTTTCAGGAGAACAATGAAGTATATCCGCTTGTTTGCCTTCTTAATGCAATCTACGACGTGATTGTTCCATTTGAGATCACTAGATATGGTAACACCTAGGATTTTGGCGCAATCGATGACGGGAAGGGCTTTGCTATCTACTACAAGTGGAGAAAAGTTATGAGGATTTTCTTTAAAGTCAATAATTAACTCTTTGCACTTGTCAGCGTTGAGTTGCATCAGCTGGGATTGGGACCAGGTGTCCACCGCAGTAACAACGCGTTGTACGTCACCCAGGGAGCCACGGGGTATGGTTTGAGAGATGGTAATATCATCTACGTACTTCCACGTTGGGGCGTCAACTTTGAGATCGTTTATCATGAGCAGAAAGAGCCATGGTCCGAGTTTTGTTCCCTGTGGGACCCCGGCTGGGACTGGGCCCCACTCAGAGAAACAGTGTGCCGACAGTTCTACCCGTTGTTGCCAGTTTGTCAGGAAGTCGGTCACCCAAGCTTTGATGCTGCGTGGCATGTCAAGACCATTGATCTTGGCAACGAGGATCGTATGATCAATGAGATCAAATGCCTTTCGATAGTCAAATAGCACGACCCTGACGACTGCCCCTGTCCCATCTGTAGCCTGTGACCAGTGGTGAAACATCGAGATCAGGGCGAATGAGGTGGAGAATTCGGGGATGCCGCCATACTGATCACAGTCGATCTTCTTGAGTACTGCGGGACCAACATGAGTGGCTACAACGAAGTCTTCCGCGAGTTTCGAGATGATGGGGGTCAGGGAAATGGGCCGCAGATGCTTACTTAGGTCTTCAACAGGCTTCTGTTTGGGTAGCGGTACAACGTCAGCTAGCTTCCACGGCGAGGGCAGCTTTTGCTCTTTATAGCTGGAGTTGAGTATAGCCGTAACGGGTTCAACAAGAACCTCTGCATACTCTCGCAGGAGCCAATTAGGAACACAGTCAGGTCCGGCTGCTTTACGCGGGTTTAATTGCTTCAAAGCAGCCAAGACCGCAGACTCGGATACAGACGACACATAGGGTTCATCCTCGTGGGCTGCGATTGGCATTAATGGCTGAAAGTTTTCCATTGGAGCAAGAAAGGCTGAGTTAATTTTGTTGGCTATTTCAAGTTCGCTCAAATCGCCATCCAAATGTAAGCTGGAAAGAAAAGACTCTGATCGGAGCAGGGGACCATTCCTGCGACCCGTTTGACAGCGTTCCACCACTGAGAGGGCTTGGTGGACTTGAGATGGTCAACTTTGCTAGCAAAGTACTCGCCGCGAAGAGATTTCCGCTCGCGGTTGACGATGTTGCGGTAGCGGCTGAAGGCGTCCTTATCTCCCTTGTTGAACGGTTGCTGGCCAGCTTGATAAGGTTTTTAAACTCTGCGGTGATCCATGGCGCATCATTAACGTGTGTCTTGAAGTGCTTAACCGGCATGATGTAATCCATACCAATCTGAATTATGTCAACGAACATGCTTAACCTAGCCTCGCAGTCATCTCCATTAACTGGAGACCAGTCAATCGACGAGAGATAGCGTCCGAGTTCCAACTTTCTACTTGGTCGTGTGTCTCACCTTGCCGTGATTCTCATACTGCAACCGTTGCCCTTGGGTCTCGCTTTGGGTCTCACTAAGACAACATTGTGGTCAGACATGCCAAAGGGGGGAAAGGTTTGCACAGCGTTTGAGTCGTAGAGCTGTGGAAGGTTAGTAAGTACTAAGTCCAAGATTTGGTCACCCCTTGTGGGCTTATCTACTAGTTGCTTCAGCTTGAATTGGGTGGTCAAACGGCGAGTATTTAGGCGGTTGAAATCGCCGCACAACACGAAACCGCAACCGGGGTACTCTCCTTCCAAAGAAGTGAGGGACGCAGACAGATAGTTCACAAGTGCTGCATCTCTGATGCTGTTGTTGAAGTGTGGATGGTATATGACACCCGCGACGATACAGGGAACTCCGCGTGGAAGTCGGCTGGGTCGTAGCCACGCCAACAGTGCCTCGATGTCAGGATCCGACAGTTTTTCTAGGTGCTTGAATTTGATAGAATTCTCGATGTAGAGGCCAACACCGCCGTGATGGTCTGTGGTGCGGTCACGATGG